CTACTTCATGAGATCCGTCTGTGATTCGACATAAGCCTAAGCGCAACTCATGCGAGTAATGCGACGTACTGCTGATAATTACGTAGACTACCATAAAAATATAATAAAATCCCATTAAAAATGTACAATAAAATCCCCTAAAAATACAAAATATTAAATAAAAAAAAATGATCAAACTAAAGGATAGTACATTAATTTCGTTTAAATAATTAAATTAATTTTGGTTATTTTTGACCGACATGCTCTTCGGATCAGGATCCTGCTTTCACCAAACACTACAGTAATGATTTGTGTGTGTGTAGGAGAACGGTATTGGTGTATTTTGTTGAAATGTCACTCAGTATTAGTGTTTTCATGGTTTCCCACAAGCTTAGCTCAACCTTTACACCCACTCATCCCTCTATCATCCAAAACACACACACTCATTTGCATATTTATATATATAAGCTGAGAGAGAGAGGGATGGAGACACTGTTTCAGAGCCTCACTTTACCAGGCAATTAATTCCTCTGACTGTTGTGTTTCTCATTGATATCCTCACAGGCGTGTGTGTCGGAGTGTGAGGAGCGCATGAATTCGGGAACTCGTGGAGTTTGTGCAAACTCTTGCTGAGAGATGATGACAGCACTCCTGGATCTGCTGGAAATGAACACTCGGAGGCACAACAACATCATGTGGACAGAAGATATGGAGGCTTTATGAAGCGTTATGGAGGATTCATGAAGAAAACAGCGGAGTTCTACGGGATGGAGCCGGATAGGGATGAGGGCATAGAGAAGCGTTACGGGGGGTTTATGAAGAGGGGTGGAGGGGGGAAAGAGTTACTCAAGCGTTACGGCGGGTTCATGAGGCGCGTTGGGGAACCGCATTGGAGGAAACGCTCCCGAGAGGAGGATGAGGAGGGGAATCTATCAGGCATAGAAAAGAGGTATGGTGGATTCATGGGGTTTTAAAGGCCCTGGTCCACTTTCCCTCGAGGAAACACGCTTTAAGGGATAGTTCACCCAAAAATGAAAATTAGCCCATGATTTACTCTCCCTCAAGCCAACCTAGTGTAAAAGACTTTCTTCTTTCAGACGAATACAATCTGAGTTATAGAAAAAATGTCCTGGCTCTTCCAAGCTTTATAATGGCAGTGAATGGTCGTTTCTGTTTTGAAGTCCATAAAAGTGCATCTATCCATCATAAAAGTGCATCTGTCCATCATAAAAGTGCATCTATCCATCATAAAAGTGCATCTATCCATCATAAAAGTGCATCTATCCATCATAAAAGTGCATCTGTCCATCATAAAAGTGCATCTATCCATCATAAAAGTGCATCTATCCATCATAAAAGTGCATCTATCCATCATAAAAGTGCATCTGTCCATCATAAAAGTACATCTGTCCATCATAAAAGTGCATCTGTCCATCATAAAAGTACATCTGTCCATCATAAAAGTGCATCTATACATCATAAAAGTGCATCTATCATCATAAAAGTGCATCTATCATCATAAAAGTGCATCTGTCCATCATAAAAGTGCATCTGTCCATCATAAAAGTGCATCTGTCCATCATAAAAGTGCATCTATCCATCATAAAAGTGCATCTATCCATCATAAAAGTGCATCTGTCCATCATAAAAGTGCATCTGTCCATCATAAAAGTGCATCTATCCATCATAAAAGTGCATCTATCATCATAAAAGTGCATCTGTCCATCATAAAAGTGCATCTGTCCATCATAAAAGTACATCTGTCCATCATAAAAGTGCATCTGTCCATCATAAAAGTACATCTGTCCATCATAAAAGTGCATCTATCCATGATAAAAGTGCATCTGTCCATCATAAAAGTGCATCTATCCATCATAAAAGTGCATCTGTCCATCATAAAAGTGCATCTATCCATCATAAAAGTGCATCTATACATCATAAAAGTGCATCTATCCATCATAAAAGTGCATCTATCATCATAAAAGTGCATCTATCATCATAAAAGTGCATCTGTCCATCATAAAAGTGCATCTGTCCATCATAAAAGTGCATCTGTCCATCATAAAAGTGCATCTATCCATCATAAAAGTGCATCTATCCATCATAAAAGTGCATCTGTCCATCATAAAAGTGCATCTGTCCATCATAAAAGTGCATCTATCCATCATAAAAGTGCATCTGTCCATCATAAAAGTGCATCTATCCATCATAAAAGTGCATCTATCCATCATAAAAGTGCATCTGTCCATCATAAAAGTGCATCTATCCATCATAAAAGTGCATCTATCCATCATAAAAGTGCATCTATCCATCATAAAAGTGCATCTGTCCATCATAAAAGTGCATCTATCCATCATAAAAGTGCATCTATCCATCATAAAAGTGCATCTGTCCATCATAAAAGTGCATCTATCCATCATAAAAAGTGGATCTGTCCATCTTAAAAAGTGCATCCATTTATTCATCTGACAGAAGAGTGTCATATAGGATGACTTGAAGAAGAGTAAATCATGGGCTATCTCTTCAAAATGCGTGATGTTTTAATAAAGTGTTTGTTGTGTCCTCGTTGTGTTAATGTGATTTACTGTGAAAAAGACCGTCTTAAAACTACATCTGAGTTCACCTGTATGTGTAAGATTTTAATAACTAATACTGTACAACCACCAGGCCTTCCTCTCTCTGCAATCCAGGACTGCATGAAACACTCGTTCACTCGTAAACCTGGAGAACATGACAGATCAATCTTGCCATTCGCTTGAATAAACTGCTCGAAACTGCAGCAAATTAGCCTTGTCTGTGTGTAAATCCAGTGTTTAATGTTGTTTATGTGTGTATGTGGTGTGTATAATCCGCTTTAACACACACCGTGTGTAAGTTGATAAGTGGACAGCATTGCCTCCAGTATTTCCTCCTTAAAACTGCAGTGAACCAAAGACACGCTTTGAAATCGCTGGTGTTTCTGACGTCACAAACCACCTTGTAACCAATCAGATCAACGTGTGATCGCCAGTGAGTGTAGGCGGGGCTCATTTGCATATTCATAGAACCGCGCATAGTAAATGAGGCGAGGGTGTCGAGTTACATTCAAGATATTTGAAGCCATGTAGATTTATTTTCACTTAAATATCTAATTTTGGTGATTAAAGATGAGTTTTAAGGTAATAATTATTGACTACAGGGAGACTTTCACTTTTCTGGATCGAGTACATTTATTTAAAAGTATAGTTTTATTAAATGGTCCGTGATGTAAAGCACTTCTACTCTCATGAAACTCATGCAATCAAGAGTACGGATTCGACTGTGGGAAGACATGAACACTTCATCATCATTGAAGATCACTGATTTAATGTGTTGATATCTCTATCGAGTGTGTTTTACACGCTGCATATCTACACCACCTTTGATCTAGCGTAACCATAACCTAGATCTGCTAAATAAAGTCTAATGTACATTAGGTGACACTTTACAGTGTCCTTGTATTTACCATAATAACTGTAAATAATGCATAATTACATACAACTAAACCTCAACCTAACCCTAATCCTCCCCTAATTATTAATATTACTCAGTCCTCCTTAAATATATAATTACTGTAACAATGACAGCCTAAAATAAAGCGTAACTCACTTCATATTAGTGTCTTTGTAACATGTAACATGTGCTTATTAATAACAGTAATAATTACAGGCTACCCCTAAACTAAATAGTAAGTTTGTGCATGTTGTTGAGGTTTAGTTGTATTAATTATGCATAATTTACTGTTATAACTACGGTAAGTACATGTAACATATACAGACACTATGTTACCGTAAGTTCATTATTATTCCTTTAAATGTAATATCTCTGTAACTGTACGTTTGAGTATCACCCAAGAAAGATGTTATATTCACTCATATCTGTAACAGATTTAAAGGCTTGTTCACATCAAGAATACGGTAACTTTATTTTAATGTATATCTGTGTTACAGTAAATACACATTTAAGTGCTGAGTAATAATAATTAGGTTGATTTAGAGTTAGTTACATGTAACGAAGCACGATTTACAGTAATTATACAGTAACTATGTAACTAGTGTTATGTTTATCATCATCCACTGTACTTTTTCATCCAAATACAAAAAGTATATTGTTTAATATATATAATTATTGCAGATTTGCATAACATTCTGAGTTTGTATTTCACTGCTTTCACTGTAAAAAATATTTTCAAGATTTGTTATCACAGCATATTTTCTTTTGTCAAATCGACTTTATAATAATTTATTTAGTTGAGATTACTTATTATTTTGAGTTTCTGATTATTAATTTAATCTCTTATTATATTAACACACTTTTTCCAGTTCAATCAACTTAAAATTTTAAGGCAACCCAGGTTACTTACTTTTTTAAGTTAAACCAACAATAATCACAACATTTTTCTTTTGTCAAATCAACTTAAATAATTTATTTAGTTTGGATAACATATAATTTTGAACTTCTGATGATTAAATTAATCTCCTTCATTGTATTAACTCACTTTTTCCAGTTCAATCAACTTAAATTTTTAAGGCAACCAGGTTACTTACTTTTTTAAGTTAAACCAACATTATTTTTTTACAGTGTAGTAAACTAGTCACTTTTTTGTTGTTGCTTGTTTACCATCTTATCAATGAGATTTCGGTGTCATTGTAACAGTGTAAGTACTGAGTAAGATTAATAGGGTTAGGGTTAGGATTTGGTTGAGGTTGAATTGCATGTAATTATGTAAAATATGTACCACGGAGTGGACACAGTAAAATAAAGTGTTCCTAAAAGATCGCATGTCCAAGATAAGGGCGTCTTCATGTTTGTGTAGCCTGTTCTGAGCTCCACTTATTAATTTCCCAGCATTATGAAATGAGCTGCACGATTTATGAAGATATTGGAGGCTAATGATGAAGGCGAGCAGAGACTCCTCAAGCGCGCGCGTCGTGAGGGCGGTTCGCGGGCGTCAAACGGTTAACCCGAGGCCACGCCCCCTACATCCCGTTAGACTGAACTTTGTGTTCGGTAAACACGGAGCGATAACCGGACACCGGAGCGAAGGTCGAGGACACACACACACATATAGACACACACTCGGGGAGAGGCGAGATGCGGTGTCAGTGACGGCTGAGGCGAGACTCGACAGGGCTGAGAGCCGAGAGAGGATTACTGAATAAAGTTGATTGTTTAACCCTTTCGCCTCCAGGATCTATTCGCCATCATCATGAACTTCCTCCTGGAGACGCTCCAGGTGCTCTTCTTGTCGCTGTTCTTCACGTTAGAAGCGCTGGTTCGGTTATTTGTCCCGGTTCGGCGGAAGAGCGTGTCCGGGGAGCTGGTGCTCGTGACCGGCGCGGGCGGCGGGATCGGGCGGCTCATGGCGCTGGAGTTCGCGCGCCTGGACGCGCGCCTGGTCCTGTGGGACATCAACGAGGACGCGCTCAAAGAGACCGCGCGCGCGATAAAAGAAGAGGTCGGGGCGCGCGCGTACACGTACACCTGCGACTGCAGCGAGCGCGAGGAGGTGTACAGGACCGCGAGCCAGGTGCTGTTTTATTATGTTTTTTTAAATGTATTGAATGTCATTCATATAAAATAATATAAAACATAGACTACAACAAATAGGAAAAGAAAATATACAGTGTAATTTAGAGAAAAGAGAAATCATTTGAAATCGTCATATCACATTGAGACCATTTTGCTTTACTATTTTTCAACCCAAGAAGTACGTCAATATCATTGGCTATCTCTCTGAAACAACACTGCCATTTCCTTTAGCCCATTTTTGTTTATATTTATGGTATTTTCCCATTGAAATCTTTGTCTATTAAAATAAAGAAATGCGTCCAGGTGTAATATGCACTTTGTCACGGTGACGTGTAGAGGTCAGGACACGCGCACGCGCACGCTATCTTGTAACGACCATAAACATCATGTCTTTCTTTCACTCATACCGTTTATTTTCAGTAGTTACACTTTAAATGTCTTTTTCACACAACTTTGACTTGTTTCAGCTCATTCATCAGGCTAATGCTAAAAAAAATAACACTTAAAACTTTAAGTAAACATTTTTAACAGGCTAATACGAAGTGTAACTGACGACTCGTTCCGTTTGATTATGAAGGTGAAGCGTGAGGTCGGCGACGTCACGATATTGATCAACAATGCAGGAATTGTTACTGGGAAGAAGTTCATGGACTCTCCGGATGCACTGGTGGAGAAAACCATGGAGGTCAACAGCCTAGCACACTTCTGGGTATCTATCTATCTATCTATCTATCTATCTATCTATCTATCTATCTATCTATCTATCTATCTATCTATCTATCTGTCTATCTGTCTCTGTTCATGATATGCTGTCTCTCCTCCTCAGATGTATAAGGCGTTCCTGCCTGCTATGATTGCTGGTAATCGAGGTCATCTGGTCAGTATAGCGAGTTCTGCTGGACTCACCGGAGTCAATGGACTGGCAGGTACAGTAGATCTTTACAGTTTTTTTATTCGCTTTGGTACTATTTTCACAAGTAAGGTGTATATTTTCAAAACTCTTAGTACAAAAACCCAAACTGATCACACTTGTAACGCAGCTCGTCATTCTTTCAAAACCTGATGTAATGCTTTCAGTCAGTTGCACATGTTTTCAGTCCACATAATCATTATTTCAAACACAAGATTATTGTAATAATGAGAACATTTGGTTTAATCACTGAAACACAACAATATGATCTTCTTTCAGTTTAGTACTTTTAACAATCAGTTCATCCAACAGCAAACAATGCAAGATACATGTTTCAAATCGGCCTTAGAAGTGCTGAAATGAATATGCTACAGTACTATGAAAGACATAGTTTTACTGTAACATTAGGCAATACACTTACAGTACCCAACATTTACATAATCTATAATTTCCAAATATCCATCATATATGTAATCAAGTTACTGTAAGGATCAAGACATCCTCTACAATCATTTAGGCAAATTACTGTATAGTTTTTATTTTTCAGATATAATTGTAACATATGTATACATTCTGTAATCAAATATAACTAAATGAGAACAAAACATTGCACACATTACAGTAAATTACTGTAATTTGGATCAAGCCTGTGAGCATTTGGCCATAGATTCTTGTCCACATCACAATGAATGTTACAGTATATAGTGGCCAATTGTGGTTACCACTGTGTGAAATCAATTAGCTATAACGAGTATTCATCAGGTGTGGTTACATGTAATTTAAATATTCATACAAACACACATTTTTTTTTTCTGTAGTTCTTACTGTAAAATCCATATACTGTATATTGCTGAAATGAAAATCTATAGGTTTACCAAATGATTAATTGATTAACCATTACAGTAAGATCTGTTGGATTAAATAATAGACAAAAGTATTACAGTTTTTTTTTATTTGCTTTGGTACTATTTTCACAAGTAAGGTGTACATTTTCAAAACTCTTAGTGCTAATTTCACAACAGATCATCAAAAGTGCACTTTTGTCAAACATTTCATCATGTTTTCAACTGTGTTAGTACAATTCACACAATCGCAAAGTATCCTTTTCACAACACAAAATAAGTGTTTCATCTTCATTATTGTTTCATTCACAGTATCAAACTTTTGATTTGCATCTCTTTTTGTTCAGTTTAACACTTTTGTCTATTATTTAATCCAACAGATCTTAATGATTAATCAATTAATCATTTGGTAAACCTATAGATTTTCATTTCAGCAATATACAGTATATGGATTTTGAGAACTACAGAAATAAAATGTGTGTTTGTATGAATATTTACAGTAAATTACATGTAACCACACATGATGAATACTCGTTATAGCTAATTGATTTCACATAGTGGTAACCACAATTGGCCACTATATACAGTAATGTGTGCACTAAATGTTATGTTTTGTTCTCATTTACTGTAGTTACATTTCATTATAGAAAGTATACATATGTTACAATTATATCTGAAAAATAAAAACTATAATTTGCCTAAATGATTGTAGAGGATGTCTTCATTGATCCTTCACTTGATTACATATATGATGGATATTTGGAAATTATAGATTATGTAAAGGGTACTGTAAGTGTATTGCCTAATGTTACAGTGAAACTGTGTCTTTTATAGTACTGTAGCATATTCATTTCAGCACTTCTACGGCCGATTTGAAACATGTATCTTGCATTGGTTGCTGTTGGATGAACTGATTGTTAAAAGTACTAAACTGAAACTTGTGTTTCAGTGATTAAACCAAATGTTCTCATTACATATTACAATAATCTTGTGTTTGAAATAATGATTATGTGGACTGAAAACATGTGCAACTGACTGAAAGCATTACATCAGGTTTTGAAAGAATGACGAGCTGCGTTACAAGTGTGATCAGTTTGGATTTTTGTACTAAGAGTTTTGAAAATATACACCTTACTTGTGAAAATAGTACCAAAGCGAATTAAAAAAAAAGTGTTAAACTGAACAAAAAGAGATGCAAATCAAAAGTTTGATACTGTGAATGAAACAATAATGTAGATGAAACACTTATTTTGTGTTGTGAAAAGGATACTTTGCGATTGTGTGAATTGTACTAACACAGTTGAAAACATGATGAAATGTTTGACAAAAGTGCACTTTTGATGATCTGTTGTGCATCTAAGAGTTTAAATTAGCACTAATACTAATTAAACAAATTAGCACTAAGAGTTTTGAAAATGTACACCTTACTTGTGAAAATAGTACCAAAGCAAATAAAAAAAACTGTAATATCAACACTACACTAATATCTCTCAGATATCCTCAGATTACTGTGAGTGTGTGTGTGTGTGTGTCGTCAGATTACTGCGCGAGTAAGTTTGCGGCGGTGGGGTTTGCGGAGTCGATGGCGCTGGAGCTGCTGGCGTTGGGTTATGACGGAGTGAAGACCACCATCGTCTGCCCGTTCTTCATCAACACCGGCATGTTCAACGGCGTCAACATTAAGTAAGAAGTGTGTGTGTGTGTGTGTGATGGGGTCGGGTTAGTGGAAGGGTACAGAATATACAGTTTACAGTATAAAAACCCTTACGTGTGTGTGTGTGTGTTGCAGATTTCCCAGACTCATGCCTGTTCTTGAGCCGGATTACGCGTGCAGGAAGATTGTGGACGCGGTCCGCCGGGATCAGGTTTATCTCTACATGCCTCGAGTCATTTACGTCATCATCGCTCTGAGGAAGTGAGTGCCGAGGATCTCGCTCTATAAAACACACTTACACACGTTTATATGCACATTTTGAGATATCGCATAAAGGCCAAGAGGTTCATAAATGTTCATCAAAAAATAGTTTTTTTACACCATTTCCTCACTTTACACGGAATATCAATGAATATTAATGAATCATGAAATTATACTCTATATATGAAACTAAAACCAACAAGCCTAAGTTTTAACGAGCGAGTCATTCAAACGATTCATTCGAGAACGAAGCAATTGTCCGTCTTTATGAATGAGTCACTAAATCGAATCGATTCGCTCGAAGACTCACAACAGTTCGTCTGAAAATGTTTCATATGTAAAATTCTGCAAAAGCGGACAGTGTTGTGTCTAAAATGTACTGTTGTATTTTTCTAAACTATTATACTGAAGTGCTTTCTGAAGACAGTCTCGTCGGTCGATGTGCTTGTGTGTGTAACGGCTGCTTTTCCTCCGTCACACAGTTTTCTCCCCACTAAGATCGGTGTGCTGTTGGGCAAATACCTGGGGGTGTTCAGCTTCATGGCTCAGTTCAAAGGTCATGGGCAAAAGAGCGACTAATTTCCACCATGAGAGGAACCGGGAATCAACTAATGAAGAAAGAGAGAGAGAGAAGGAATATTTACACATTAAACATGCATGAAGAAATAGATGTTTAAAACTGACCCATACTGTGACCAATCTGCACTTCTGTTTCATCCGATATGAAGAAGTTTCGTTTTAATAATATCAACATTTTGCCTCTTTAACCGTTTGCACTTAATTTGCACCCAAGAAGCCATTTCTGATTGTAGAGTTTAACTATTATAGATGGTGATTATTTTTTAAATATCTTTTAACTATGTTTTTTAATGACTTACTTAATGATTGTATAATGGAAGTGGTTGATTCGGTGTAGTATTGTGGCTCTTACTAATAAATCTGTCAATTATAGTATAGTTCTTCTTCTTAAAAATCTACACTTTTATGAAGACATCTATCAACTCCATAAAAGAACTAAAACATTCACATGATTTATGAAATCTGTGTTAGAGATGGCGCTTCGTGAAGATCCGAACACTTGGCGAATCATTTGTTTCGAACCAGTGAATCGGGGCGCGATTCAAACTGCCCAGTCACGTGATTCCAGTAAACGAGTCTCCGTGAACCCATGAACAAATATGACTTTTTTTTTTTACCTAATCTCGGATCGGTTTTATACATTTGTAGACATTTAATGTCACATTTTCATTATAAAAAATTAGGAGTTCTAGTTATTAAGTCTCTTACTGGTCAACAAAACAAGCTCTACAAGACGTAGAGAAACGTCATATTTAATGATATTAGTTAATCGCATTTTGATAAACGCTTCAATGAAACATTGCTGGTTTGTTAAAGGCGTTTTTCTATATATTTTGACCGAGTTTTTGTTGCATTTACACTGATCTGATCAGCAGAGGTCGCCAGCGAGAGCCGCTTCAGTGAATCATTTAGCGAATCAACTGATTCAATTGATTCAAAAGCTTCATTTCCCGCGTCACTGCACATCTAGTGCAAAAACAGTAAATGAGCTGCTATAAGCAGTGGAACTCTGCCTAACTCTACCTTAAAGTCTATAATACATATATATATATATTATATATAAACATTTTTAGTTTATACATGTAACTAAATATTCAGGCTAGACATGTAAAGCTGTACACAGAAATCTCTTATAGGCATTAGAAATTTCATGTCTGAAAAATGAGAAAATTCAAGTGTGACTCCCTTTATCCTATAGGGTCAATTCTTAAACGTCTTTAGAAATATAATATTTCTAACGGTTAAATGTCCGCTGTTTGTGTGCGCAGTGCGCATGCGCCCCCATGTGGACACCACTGATGACGACTGAAAACTGAAATTAAACAATACTTTAAATAGGTTCACATCGACCTCCAAAAGAACACACGCTTTATATATTAAAGCTTTTATTTGTTCATTTAAATGCAAAAAGTTGTATATTGTCAATTAACTATGAACTAATTATAATTCATATAATATAAATATAGCAAATTAAAACATAAATATAACAAATTAAAAGGCAAGACAGGCAATTCTTGTTTGCCAATAAACTGCGAGATACGGGGGCGTGGCTTCATTGCGTCAGACTTACATCACTTTGCTCGCAGCTGATTGGTCCAGACCACAACAGAAAGCCACATTTTAACACATAATAACAGGCAGTGTCATTGTATTTCAAACATGGTATTTTTGAGACAAGTAGGAGAATTCCCAGGTTACCAGTTGTAATTACGACTCCACGAGAACGCTTACGGGAATTAATCCGCTGTAAACTGCTGAACATGGACACTCCATCAACATCAACATCATGCATTTCTGTGAACAACGCATCAATGAAAAGCTTTTAATGAAATCAATTTGACACAACACACACTTGTACTCAAAATACGTTCAAGTTTGAATGACTGAAAACACGGAGGGTCCGATGATGTCAGGAGACAGTCTGATGATGTCAGCAGAGGGTCCGATGATGTCAGGAGAGGGTCTGATGATGTCAGCAGAGGGTCCGATGATGTCAGGAGAGGGTCTGATGATGTCAGCAGACGGTCCGATGATGTCAGGAGACAGTCTGATGATGTCAGGAGACGGTCTGATGATGTCAGGAGAGGGTCTGATGATGTCAGCAGAGGGTCCGATGATGTCAGGAGAGGGTCCGATGATGTCAGGAGACAGTCTGATGATGTCAGGAGACGGTCTGATGATGTCAGGAGAGGGTCTGATGATGTCAGCAGAGGGTCCGATGATGTCAGGAGAGGGTCTGATGATGTCAGGAGACAGTCTGATGATGTCAGGAGAGGGTCTGATGATGTCAGCAGAGGGTCCGATGATGTCAGGAGACAGTCTGATGATGTCAGCGGAGGGTCTGATGATGTCAGGAGACAGTCTGATGATGTCAGCGGAGGGTCTGATGATGTCAGGAGACGGTCTGATGATGTCAGTAGGGTTTTCCTCCGAGTGCCGAGAGGATCTGGTCCCGTTCCTCTGCGTTCGGCATGTCGGGTTTGACTCCGTCTCTCCGGCGCTGAAGCATCACTGTGTGCTGAGACCGGGAGAGATCGCGTTTATTCTCCAGAACAAACACTTACGCACTTCTTCATGTTCTTCATACATAATTTAAATTTATTTAAATGAAATGCAATTACTATATTTAAGTTCAATGATGTTTTGTTTATTTAAATGGTGCTAAAATATACATATATGCAATAGTTAAAATGCATTATATTATAGACATAAAAATGAAATCTACAACTTAAACTTAAAAAGGGGTTTTTAAAGAAGACAGCTGGCAGATTATTGCTGAAGTGAAAACACATACACACACACACACAAAAAAAAAAAATATATATATATATAGGACCGAAAATGCACATAAATACTATTTTCACTTTTTATAGAAAATACAAAAATAAAACTGCAAAAACAAGCCATAAATCTAAACAAGTTGTGTTTCAAATGTGAGGTTGATATCTCAGTAAATGAGTGTTTGAGTGCAGTACCGAACGCGTCCACTAGAGGAAAATACTATCATTAATTTCCAATGCGAGTCCATTAGAGTCCAATCCAAGGAATTTAAAAAACCCTTATTTATTTATTCTTAATGACGAAGATCAGCATGTTTGATGTAGCATGGCATGTAATCGCGGTATACTGAGCGTTTCTAACGTGCGTGTGATTAGCGTGACCTTCAGATACTCCAAGAGATGACATCATCATGAAGACTTTCAGAATAAGAAAATGCTCAGTAACGTTAGTTTGACGCCCATGGCATGTGATATGATACGGTTATAAAACATTAAACCAAACCTACGCCCTAGCATGCTAGGCACATGTTAGCATACACATTCGGCACATCTCTACAGAACACGGCAGTGAAATGGTTAATTAAGCCGCGGTCACACTGCACAATTAGTGTGTGTTACGATAGTCGGATTATGCGGTTTGACTACACGCTCCTCACCGTCCAATCATCAGTCTCCGTCTATAATGACATGCATGATGTCACGGCACCTTTATTTACACAGTGCTTTATAGACCATTTCACAAGATGTAAACAACACTGGTCCAGAAGCACTTCCTGTTTCATTTTGTAACTGTTTTTCTTTATTTCACATGTAAAGAAAACATCTTAAAGATGTTGGTTTAACTTTTTGATTCAGTTTTAAATGTTCTGTTGGTTGTATTTTATCCCAGCTTTTATGTAGTGTTAAAAAACTGAAACAGGAAGTGCTTCTGGACCAGTGTTGTTTACATCTTGTGAATTGGTCTATAGAGAGAACAGGAGAATAATGCAACAAAGTTTGTTTCCAGAAGAAAATAACGTCACAGTCCAGTTTAAGCAAGTTCAGGGACACTTCATTTTATTGTAAAAAACCTATTCATTTAGTGTATATATAAACCGTGATGTCATCGTCCAGCTCAGATCAGTTCTCATATAATGATGTCAATACAGGAGATCAGTAATATTGCTGAATATGAAGAAGTGTTGAGTTTGTGTGGATGAATGTGGCCCAAACTCACCCAGTACTTCCTGCAGTTCTTATACCTCATGAAGTACGCAGAACAGCGGCTCTTATCGTAGCCGTACGCATCCATGCAGCGCTGAGACCCGTCGCTCTCCTACAACACAACACAGACAGCAACAGGTTCAGCTCAGATCGGCACACGTGGGTGACGCGCCGTGTTGCTAGCTACACCAACACAGGTTTGTAACCTCATTTTCCTTGCATGCACATTAAGACGATGAGATTTTATTTAAGAATACTTGTTTCACATGTTAATGCACTTTAAAAACCGAATGTCAAGATGCGACGCTTGATTTGGTTTATATTTGCTCATTGCGCCCTCTTGTGGACACAGGAGACAATACAGCACTGCTATCCTCTAACTAACACACAGATTGCCTTTAGAAGTAGACTATAATTCAAATTTAGCAAATATTTAATAAAGAAATTCGATTTTTTTCTTGTCAGCCATTTTGACAGCCCTAATTCAGATGGAAAGCATGTATAGTAGAGATGTTGAGATGGTGTGTGTGTTGTGGGACTGACCTCGATGCACGGGTTACTGTCCTCGTTACGAACCTTCCTAGCGCTCGATCGTCCGGCCATCCTTCAGCATCAGTGATCAGAACCAGCGCTCGACTTCAGCATCAGTGATCGCTGTCAGAGACGGAAGATCAAATTATGAGTTTCAATTAAAACACACTGTTGTTGTTGACAAATATGAGGAGGAAAAAGAACACTTGCAGATTAAACATTCATTTATGTGAAAAATCAATATCTAAAAAAGGAATGTGATCACTTCAAATAATCCAATTAGTTAAAAAAGTTTCTCATTTATTAGCTAGTCTAGTCTATTATTTTTTACCTTTATAAATTGAATGACGCATTTGTATTTTAAAAAGGAAGATTTGCCCTTAAAAGTCTCTTAAAGTTTTAAACAAGCTCTCTATAAAATCAACAAAACAAAACTGCATTTTGCATAAGAAAAACTAGTTTTCAAAATCTTGATAAATAGCGAAGCATGACATAGGCAAAAAAAAAAAAGCAATTATTTTGACGTGTGTGATTTCTAGCCTTTTTAAAAATGCAAATGCAACAATCTTATATGAAAACGGTGTCTATTAATTGTGCTTTTACTTTCATTTTAATTATAGGCTGCAGTTCTCACACAGACCACTAGGAGAAACCCTGAGTCTGGACAAAACGTGGCCACTAAAGAAGGTCAAATACTCTTCAAGATCATATCATCTACGTTCAAGATCATTCCTGAACATTTCCTAAAGGAAACCAGAATGCGAGGATGTTCAGAAAGTCATAATCAAGTTTATCCGACACAAGTTAAACCAACAACGCAAATAGGCTCCTATGAAAAATTACATATTAAACCTTCCAAATATATATATTATATTTATTGACTGCGGTAACTAATGTATTTTTGCATAGTTAAAAAGTATAAAATGACGTAAAGTATTAACGCGGTAATTTAAACGGCATTTATACTTTACGTCACAACGTAAAGAGAACGAATCCAGATCTCCACGCCTCAGAATTAAAAACCATAACGAGCACTTCGTCGTACTTTAAATCGCTTCAAAACAAACCGTAATCTCATTCAAACTAGCTCAAAATAGCGAGACCGGCGATTTAGCCCAGCTTAATGTAACGCAACGTATAACTTCTAATGAATTACAATAAAAAGCAACACGCTGTGTAGCAAAACACAAGCTGTGTTTGTCACTGAAAACGGTAAGTTTAATGTCGCAAATACTTACATTTTTGTCGCACAAGAACACTCAACCTTCCCTCATGTCATGTCAGAGACGCACGTAACGTCTGTCACAACAACACAACGCAGCCTAACTATTGTAGGTGATTGACAGGCGTCGACGACCAATCAAACTGCAGGACGGAAAGCGTCACCGGTAACGGTCGCGTGAACTGTCACCTCTTCCATCCAATGGGATTCGGGAGATATCTGTTATACACGCCTATTGATAAAACAGATATTTACACGAAGTGGCGGCGATTGACAGAACCACCGACGAGTCCTAAATTTGAGATTTTCTGAAGGGGAAAATCAGTGGCGGTGAAATCTGAAAATGACAGTTTGTTACACAAATCACGAGCGCGAGGGAGGAGGGCGTTTCGGTGGGCGTGGCCTGAGCTGGGGTTGGTTGCATCGCAGCGCATATACACAATGGCTGCTGGAAAGAGGGGAAAGCAAACAATTTTTAGGCCCGCCGCGTCTAGCAAAAAATATGAGAAAAAAATTATTAAAAATCCGGGAAATAGTTGAAAGTCAAGAAAAACACCCTAGAAAGGATGTTAACGCTCCTACGGTGAGTTTTACGCATATTAAGAAAATTGTTACGGCGTTCTTTAATTAAAATATCGGGGTTATTCAAATTATGAGAGAGGGGAGAGCAAGAGGGGGGGAAAAGTTTTGTGTTAATCAGCGCAGAGTCTGAAACTGAAGAGAACAGCAATGAACGACTCAATTATACAGAAGATCGAACATTATTCTGGTGTTTGTTTCTGTCAAGTCACTATGCGCGCGGACGAGTGTCAATAAACAGAGAAGTGGTTGTAAAAAGTTGCAAAAAGTTTTTGAAACATTACTTTTCTCTGGGAATAATAGCGACGGGATAGCGTGGCGAACTCACGCGCGTGTTTAAACGCTAAAAAGTGCGCGCCGCGCGAAACTTCTGACAGGATTTGTGATACAAGGACCTTTCCGTGTTTAATAAACACGCGGTTTAATTTCGACACCGTTTACAGAGTTCGCAGTGTGTGAGTCGCGGTCAGTGTGTTTGTTGACTATATTAGGGGTGTCATTGAGTCACTATAGCGAGAGAAGCTGCTTGTCAATATCGCAAACAACCAAAATGGTGGGAGAAGGACTAACTAATTATTATGAGATGCTCTGAGAGAAAGTCCCACTGTGATCTGGATGCGATTGGGGGATCATAAACATCAAAGCACATAATGATGATTTAATGAGTTTTGATTGACACTGGGAGGTCAGACTCAGTCATATATACAGTTGTTAGTTGATATTGGTGCGTTTCTGCAGGATCTCAGCGCAGATTTATAGCTTATAGTCAATAGTTTCATATGCTCGTGCATGTGATGATGATGGCGCTCGTGCGGCATTCATGATCGAACTGTTAAAATCGGGAAAAAGTCTATTTTTATTGTGCAGTTGTTAAAAAGTTTATTTGATCTTGTGTGTGTGTGTGTGTGAGTATTTCTATAGTAGCCCTGTATGTTGTATTTTATGATTCGCATCTCATCTGCGGGAGCTATTGCTCCTCCACCCCCCGATGCTCTTGTTTGAGGCTCCGAGCTGACGGGGTCACCGGGTTTACCGGGTTTACCGCGCGGTTGTTACGGATGTTCTTTTTCTGTTGCTGCGAGTATTAGAAAGTTCGCACAGAACACGTCAGAGGTTTCCCGCGCAGAACCGGTGTCGCAGAAAGAGATTTAGCGTTATAACAGCCTCATATCGCACACTTAGACCTCATAATGCTTTTTCTTTTCGGGGGGTTGTCTAAACGGTGAAATGATGTTGGACTGCGTAATGAAATCACTGTAAATAATAGAAGAATAAGTCGGTAAATTTCATGAAGGCTATTTTACAGGTGGTTCACCTGTATTTTGAATAATTTATTGTGTACTACTATTATTTACTTGATAATAATTACAGAAGGCTTTATGTTCCGTTCCGTGTTTGCTTTGTAAATAAGATTTAGTGCAGCAATGACATTGAAGATAGTTCATCAAAGTAGATTGTTTTATGGTTTTTGCTTAATTTTCGATGAGAACCAAATGTTTTATTTGGTATAATTTAAAACTGTTCAATCACAATTTAATCAGATTGCTATTGGATTATTTCTTATAGCCTACTGAGATGCATCAAAAATATGTGTAAATAAATGATGAAATTCTGCAGACATTAGTCAGTTTGATTTTGCCAAAGAGACCTAAAATGCAAAATGGTATATAAATATATTTTATTTTTGTTGTTTTTACATAACTGTACTCCAATCCAGAAATGTGTTTAGTATATAAGAATGTTTTGGGGAAAGTTTTTTTAAAAAAAAAATTCTAGTTTATAAATATATAGTAATTTAAGCTAAATTCATAAACTGTATAATATATCTCTTCATTTCTTTTATAACTGTTTTAATTATTACTGTTTTCCTTGCTTTTAATTCGTGATTATTTTAATTACTTTCTGAAATAGCACTTTGTATTGCCAAAGTGTATGAAATGTCCTATATAAATAAACTTGCCTTGCCTTAAATATATTAGCCATTTAATTAGCATAGTAAGCATTACCAAAATTGAAATACTACAATGTTGATGCCATTTAAATAATTTTACATATTTTTATGAATCATAGGAATGAAAGAGATTATTAGATGTTAGAAGGCATATGAGAATAAATTAATAAGAATAAATTGGTTTAAACATTTGTATTTATTCATTTATTTATTTTTTTAAGAATGTTTAAATATTTACAGAGTTGTTAGGTAATATAGTGCCTAATCCAGCATGGAACAGTTATAAAGGAAAAGTGTGAGAGAAAACATTTATTCTGGCTGGAATTAAACATTAAACATTACAGCTTTAAATTGGCATTTGCCCTTTGACTTTTCATTGCCAATATTCAGCTGGAATAGGAAAGACGCCACACGAAATGAATTGTGTAAAGTGAGGGGTTTGTATAGCATTAAAAACGTCTCAAACTATTGTGAGGTAATTTTATACATTCATAAAGTGAATGCAATCCTAAGGTGTTGTAAAAGCGAAGTTGCGATCAGTGAGAAACAGTGCTGAGGTTATTAAAGAGTTACTAGATTCTGAGGGGTCGAAGACGACAAAGGTGTGCTAAAAACGGAACGTTTTTCTCGTACAGACAAGTCAAAACGATCACGGATCTATGAAAACGATTAAAAACACTGTATTCTGCTGCCAGGCCAGTAGATGGCAATGTCACAGTGTAAATTAAGACTTGAAAACGGTGTCGTGTAAACGGCCCCTGAAGGCGGGCATACACTGTGCGATTTTTTCATCCGATTTTGAGCTGGCTTTGTCGTGCGTCGTTTGTCGTGCAGTGCTCGTGCAGTTTACAGAGAGAAACGAGAGGTGATTAACCTCTCACGGTTAGGGTTGGGTATCGTTTGAATTTGAACGATTCTGATTCCGATTCCGATTCCTTGTTTCGATTCCGGTTCCTAACGATTCTCGATTCCGATTCTTTTAAGAGGCAGGGTCAAAAAAGTTTAGCTAACCTTGCTAACCAACGGTCTTTCTAAAGGAAATACTCCTTCTGTCACAAATACTCCTTTTGTCACAAATTTTGCATTTTGCCGAGATTTCGTTATTTTTAGAAAAGTGAAGCCACACTTTGGACCGCCGACGTAAGCTACTCATGTTCGACTCGCGCGGTTATACCAACACTTCCGGTAGACGCTTCTTCGTTGGTGTTCAGCGGTTTCTTCTTCCGCTCGGCGGACTGTGAATATCGAAACTAGGAATCGAAATTTTAACTTTTGAACGATTCCGGGAAAAACGAAAAGTTAGTCCCGGTTCCAATCGATACTCGATTCTCGATACCCAACCCTACTCACGGTCGGATTCATTTCTGGCATGTCATAAATTTTGGTCGCTCCTCGTGACTATATCGCACAGTTGAAGCAGCAAAGCTACACTGTTAGACCTTACCATGTTTTTTACAGTAAAATACTGGCAACACTGTTGCCAGTAATTTACTGTAAAAATGCACTGAAACTCAAGTTAACTAAAAAATACAACTTATTAGTTTTAGTGCATTTTTACAACACTGTTGCCAGTAATTTACTATTTTTACAACACTGTTGCCAGTAATTTACTGTAAAAATGCACTAAAACTCAAGTTAACTAAAAAAATACAACTTATTAGTTTTAGTGCATTTTTACAACACTGTTGCCAGTAAATTACTGTAAAAATGCACTAAAACTCAAGTTAACTAAAAAATACAACTTATTAGTTTTAGTGCATTTTTACAACACTGTTGCCAGTAATTTACTGTAAAAATGCACTAAAACTCAAGTTAACTAAAAAATACAACTTATTCGTTTTAGTGCATTTTTACAGTAATTTACTGGCAACAGTGTTGTAAAAATGCACTAAAACAAATAAGTTGTATTTTTAGTTAACTTGAGTTTCGACGATCGGACCGTACAGTGTGAGCACATAAATCCTGAACTTTGGCTTTGCATCGCATGCGATTTACTCGCTGAGTGTGAGTAGGTACCTTGCTGAAATCACACAGACATCGCACAGTGTATGCCCGCCTTTAGGGATTTTTTAATGCTAATGCATGTTACGTGTTCACTCTAGAGTTTCTTTACATAGTGACATCGCCATCTACTGGCCCGGAGACAGAATAACAGTTCTCGCGGGGCTCATTTGGACAATGTTGTCTTCTGTACGCGGAAAACTGAAAGGAAAAACTTTTACGTTTTAGTACATCGTTGTCATGTAAACATATGCTAAAAGAATGAGATCAAAAACGGGCTACTAGCAATGTGTTCATTCATGCTAGCAATGTGCTAATCCATGCTAAAACATGCTAGCAATATGTTAATTCCAGCTAGAAACTTGTTATTTCATACTAAAAACATACTAGCAATGTGATAATCAACTGTGGAAAAACATGTTAGCTAGACTGAATAAAACCTTAAAAGTTATGTCATCAAACTTGACTAGTTTTAGCTAATGTATATATACTAAATTGTAAGCTATTGTTATCATATGGGGTTTTGGCTTCAGAAAAAGCTATAAAATATCTAAAGAGTCTTTTAAGATGTTTGTTTTTGTTGCTCTCGATTTCTCAGGGCCTTGCGTCTCTGCTGTGTTGACGATTGGGGCTTTTACGCGCTCTCTGCGCCGGGACGTATCGCTCGTGTCCAACGCATGGCTTGCTGTCGCTAGGTTGCCATGGCAACAGTATCTCCCAACGACGCGGCAGAACACTGTCGAGCGAGGAAGAGGAGAGTAGAGGGGAAAGCGAGGAAGAACTTCTCCTGTCAGTTGTGCGAGAAGGCCTTCAACAGCTTGGAGAAGCTGAAGGTACACTCGTACTCCCACACGGGGGAAAGGCCGTATCGCTGCACACACACCGACTGCACCAAGGCCTTCGTCTCCAAGTATAAACTCCTACGGTAGGTACTTGTATTGTAACAAACAATCGAATGCCCATTATAGGTCTCTGAATTACACCTCATTTCATTTCCCTCGAAACACCAGCGATTTCAAAGTGTGTTTTTGAGACTGTCTTTGGTTCACTGCAGTTTTAAGGAGGAAATATAATCAGCAATGCTGTCCACTTATCAACTTACACATGGTGTGTGTTAAAGCGGATTAAAAACACCACATTCACACATAAACAACATTAAAAGCTGGAT